AGAACAACCTCAACACAGCGGTAGTGCACATGCAGCATGGAACCCGTACCATACCCTACAAGCCAGTAAACCAGCAATCCAGGATAGCAACCTCACATCTACCGAGCCGCCTTGGCAGACAAAAGGGAGGGCGGTTGGAAACCTGCTACAAAGCATACCTCCTTCGTTTACCACCACCTGGAATCTGACATGCATCCTCCAGAGACACCCGTCACCCGAAGCCTCTGCCCTCCCTGGAGACCGGAGAGAAATTGGTATCTCTAGATGATCCAGATTCCTGGCCAAACTACACTACCACCAAGGACCTCAACAGAAGGAGATGGACCCGAAACTCCTCAGGTCTAGGAACTACAAAGCCCAATGGAAAAAGCTCAAAGGCAGAAGCAGGAAAGGGAGTGGAGGGATGGGGAGAGGAGGAGGAAAGGGAAGGGGGAATTGGGGGGAATTAGGTTCGGTATGGAAAATTTTCTAGGGTGCTTACCTGTATGTACCTCAACATTATATACATACCAGTAATCTCATTGGGAGACAATCATATTGTTTACCGTAGTCACCCCGTGTACACATGTGAGAAAACTTAACCACCCCTGGTCGCACCAAGTGGTCCCCTCGACCTCACAATCTTATCCATATCTATCCGAGACCAGTATGGATTGGGTAGCACCCACAAGTACGGTGCTACTAATTAATTGTGGACTGTATAGATTATATTAGTTTAGCTGAATGAAGGGGAGGGGGGTAGGATACACCTGGATACATCCATCAAGGAAAACATTTATACATAATCCCACCACTTACCAGATGTTCTCTGGTGGTCACTTGATGTAGTTGGATCACTCATAACCTATCTAATTACAACATAACACCACTGGCCAGCATAGGTTTGTTATAACTAGAAGGGTTACTTAACTGTGGGTGATTGATACTCCTTATTTCTTCCATTCACCATCTCAGTTTCGATGTCCTGCTACACCGACACGGTTCTCATTCCGGCAGGACGAGGTATCCGTCGGTTTGTCCCGGTTAGAAGTCGTGATTCCATAAATCTCCATTATCCCCGGTACGAGAGTCACACGTTCACTCGGAGCAAGGCGCTCTATTTCACATCCCGCATTCTCTTAACTCAATGTTATTATCACTGATTACATTACCATTCACAAGACGATTTAACGTCTCATAACTATTATACAAATTAGAGGTCACTCCATTAAGATCTGAGGCCGATGAGCAAGGATTAACACACGGGTATGTCCCCTGTACACACCCTGGCCGTGCACCTGCCACCCCGTCCTACTCTTATCACACTTTTTACCACTATTACCATGGTCCCGTAAATCACGTTCCCTCACTCTCCACCAGGAACAGTTACGACACTTCTTATTATGAAATGAGGCCTATATTAATCCTTAGGCCGCCGTGAATGTCAATTTCGTGGTTCCATGCTTTCTCAGCTTCTTCACCACATTCAAAACAATCCGCGCCTCTCCCCCCCGCACATCCGCGCATGCGCAAAGGGAACTCTTGGTTCTACTCTTATTTTCAAATACATTTTTGACCCATATAGACACATTAAACACCTATTAGGCACTAGTTTCGGAAAATCAAAAAATTTTCCACATTCGGTCTGAGAAAGAAGACCAAAAGTTATAATTCCTCAGACCAATAGCCTCTTCACCGAGCCAAGGAGCCCCCCCTTGAAGAGAAAATCTATTTTAATAAAAATGGGCCATGAGCTGCAGTATTGCAGTGATGTATACGGCTGTGGCAAAGGCCTCTCAGGAAAGTACACCAGCTACACAGGTTGTAGCTTGAATTGTTTTACTCCAAATCCTACTTTAGACCCTAGGATTAATGTCTTTTTAAGCAAGTCCACAGTAGCCTTGCAACAGCATAATGGTAGGGTAGGTGTTAGGACTTTAAGGGACCAATGGGGCACTTTCACTGTTATGCAAGGGCATATTACCAGTGTCGGAAGATATACATTTGGTTGGACATTTTGTTGAAAGGTACTGTGGGATACACTTTTAGGACTCCAGTTCGTAGGTTGTGAATTGAGTTTGCATAACACTTGAGGTACTTGTGTGAATTACAGAGTATTCCTTTTTAAAGTTGTGGATCTTCTTTTGGGAAATGTTTTGGGTCACCGAGAGCAAAGAATGTTTAATTTGGAGGGACCCAAGTACACAAGTTTGGTAGAAAAATACACAAGCTTCTGCACCTTCCCTTGATTCTTCTACTAGATCTGGTGACGATTTGGGCATGGTGAGTCTGTTGCCCGAGTCTAGCTTGCAGGAGCCTTGGCAGTGGTAAACAGGCCCTCTGGCACTCAGTTTGAGTGGGAATCTGGGTGACTGCACGCGAGTGACTACTCCTGTTTTGCAACAGCTGGTTGAAGCCCAGGGATGTGGCGACACCCTGAAAGCTATTCGGTAATCAGTTACGGAGGCGATGATAACCAAACTTAACGAGAGGTGTACAACTGAAAAACTGAGGCATGCTACCAAGTGAGCATGTCAGAGTCATTTGGGTGTCAGGTCAAGAAGTTCTCACAGGTCCCTATGGAAAGACGTTTGAGTATTAACTAAAAGGGGAAAGCTGGATAACCAATGTTTATAAACAAATTATTTTGCTATCAGGTTACCAGAGTCCAAACCCCTTCTAAAAAAATATGTGAAGGTTTTGAATTTTTTTTTCATTTAGGCTTTCCTAAAGAAATTCAGATGAACAACAAGTCAAATTTTACATCTAAATATTTCCAGGTAGTTTTGGGAGACTAATATTAAGGACTAAATTTACCACTGCCTATCACTCAAAGTCAAGGGAAGGGGTTAGACTGATTCCACCAGTCTCTCAGTACTATGCTGCTGGTTTGTTATACACAGTACCAAATGGATTGGGATGAATGAAAAATTCCCCCTCCTTTTAATTCCCGTGCATGGAAGCATTTTGGAATCTGAGCTGTTGTGCCTTAGACCTGATCGGTGGCCACCAAGTGGGCCATTTGCCATTTTGGGGAAACGCTGGCTGGGGTGAGGATGGTGATACTTCCCCTGGAGAGATCTGGAGAGAGTTCCGGGGGTCAACGCCCCCGCGGCCCGGTCTGTGACCAGGCCTCCTTAGGTCAGTGTCCCAGGATGCGACCCACACCAGTCGACTAACACCCAGGTACCCATTTTACTGATGGGGAACATAGACAACAGGTTGAAAGAAACACGTCCAATGTTTCTACTCTGGCTGGGAATCGAACCCAGGCCCTCACCGTGTGAAGCGAGAGCGTTAACCACCAGGCCACCAGAGCATTTTTTTTTTTTTTTTTTTTTTAAGTTTCAGAGACTGGCACTAATGATGTGGATGGTACCAAGTGAACTTGCCCGCTAGCCAGACCAAGATAACGTCGTCTGGCCATATACTGATGCCACATACTCTGGAGGCTGGAGAAGATGTATTGACATCGGAACCAATTCCTGGGAATGCCTTGAAAACAAGGTATAGTGGACGGTACATGGTGGTGGAAAACGTCTCTGAGGTAAAATACAAAATTTCTATGCACCAACAGCATACGTCTGAGCAATCAGAATGCTGGTGTGGTTAATGTTACAGTGATAAGTGAACTTGTGGAAGACAGTGATGTGGTTGTAATGGCAGATGTGCATTTAGCAAATACTAAGATTTTACAAGACCTTGGAATATGTATGTTAGGCCTTACGGAGGTAAGGGTTGGTTCAGTCTCCGTGGAACTTTGTTATTATTTGTGATATCCTTAGCGTGAGCAGTTTGAATCCCTAGAGGTATATGATAGGGAAGTTTAGACAATTCAACCGGCCTTTTGTAGGATGAACTGGTATATAAATGGTGTATGAAGAGGCACTTTTTTTCCCTCCAAAATATTTTGACTACCCAGCAAGTCAGTGGACATCGCCTTATTTAATGGGTCCCAAACCAGATGGCACACTCAGTGCACCGACTGCCGCAAAATAAATTTACTGAATAACTAACGCTGACTGGTTTCCTCTTAGGATGTCATTGATGCAGTAGGATAAGCAAAATTTGGGACATCAGATTACCATGATCCAAAGTGTTTGTTTACCCCAATTGGCTCGTTCTGTACTTGAGATTTGTTTGGAATATGAAGTGTCAAGTTTTTTTTTTTTTTTTTTTTTTTTGCAAATTTACAAACTTTGTTTACTAGAGTTCTGTTGTAGAAGAATGCCAATTTACACATGTTTTATAGTTCTCGCAAGGAGATACCAGTGCTACTCGTGTCTGTGTTGTTGCAGGAAGTACAAGAACTGTTCCTAACAACTTCTCTAAGCGTAAACTGCAAAAAATTTATGCCACAGGAAATTCTTTGGCGTTTGGTGAACAGCACTTATTTGTACAAGCCTAAAGGTCTCATCCTATCACTGTACATTGTAACCACAGTCCTTTGCAAATTCTTCACCTAATGAGGAGCCACAACCAAAGCATCACTAGATGGGCTTTGTACCTCTAACTTCTTAATTTGGCAATTCGTTATTTTGAAAGAATTGAGAATGTGGTCGCTGATACAATATCCCGTACAAAAATAATGCACATAAGAGCATAAATCATTGATGTGGTTTTGCTTTGTAGTGGTATGCAGTGGGCGAGTCGACGGCGACTAGGTCCACCTAGAGGATAGAAGAGTTGAGCTAGTGATTGGGGTATCGTTTCCTTGGGGGTGTTTTCTGATGGCAGTCATGTCAGTTTTACTTGCCTAGGTAAAGTATGTTAACCTTTCCCTAGCAATTGGTTGGAATTCCTCACCTGAGTAATAATATCTGTTTCTACAGGTACATGTACAAGGTATACAGGCCAAGCTGACACTAATGATATGTTACTATATAGAAAGCCGCTTGTTATGCAGAGCATTTCGGGCTCTGTAAAGAAACACGCCCAATATTTCTACCTTCGCCGGGAATCGAACCCGGATGCTTGCCGTGTGAAGCGAGAGCTTTAGCCACCAGGCCACGGGGCGCCATAAAAATGTGGAACGTTTCCCGATTTTTAGTGTCAGCCATGCGCATGGGCCATGCTAATCTTCTCTGTATCGTTCCAACTTTTGTTTATGTACTGTCGAAGCCAGTGTTTTCTGTTGGTGCCCTATGGGCTACTGGACCAAATGTTTTAGGTGTTACAATTTAACGGGAACTTGGCCCCTCGTGGATTTAGGTCATGAATAGTGATCCTGGGTTTTTGGGTGATTTTTTCTTCTCTAAGACCCACCAATATTTTTCTTGAATCAACAATAGAAGGCTCCTACGAGTTACAGCTTAGGTGAACGCCTCAGAGACCCAGCGTGAGGGTTATCAGCGATGACTTCAGTGTTTTTCTTATAGCAGCAACTCCACCAAATAATTATTTTTTTGCGATTACCCCCCCCCCCTTTTTTTTTTTTTTTTTTTTTTTTTTTTTGAGTACGATACTTTTCCCTCCTATGATCTACCACTTTTCTCAGAGGTGTGTGATTATCTTTTACTATGTAATACTGTGTGTGCTTGTCAATTCTTTCGCACTTTTACTGGTAGAGAATTTTTTATTATGTGAAGTCACCTATGCATTGTGTGTTTTCTTTTGCACCTTTGGTAGAGAGGATGTATTTTAACCTGGAGGGTTAGCCACCCAGGATAACCCAATAAAGTCAGTGCGTCATCCAGGACTGTCATTTCTTTTGGGTTCCTTCAATTTTGTTCCCCCAGGATGCTTCGCACAAGTCTACTACCACCCAGGTGCCTACTTACTGCTATGTGAACAGGGACAGCAGGTATTGAGGCGAAAATGTTGTCAACCGAGCCACAGGACACAGGCAGCGGTAAAGTTTGTTTGGGAAAAGGTGTCAACTGCTCCTATGGTAATGAATGGCGTTTATTTTAGGGTACAAGGGGCCATAAAGTGAGCTTGCCCTGTTATTGACATTGTGTAGGGTATGGTAGGGTAGGGTAGGATAATGGTGTTTGCATGCAGGCGTGGGTGCCTAAGGCCAAGTCAGGACAACACGAGAGATTTTCTCTAACATACGCGCTATTAGTTTACTGGTTTTGTCTCACCCATTATTACCTATCAGCAACAGGCTGACGTACTTTAGACATCCGTTAAGGTTATGTTGGTGTATAAAGGTTTGAATTTCTTGGTGTTACTATGCACTCGGTATCTGCTGGCATGGGAAATCTGGAAAAACAGATGGGACGTGCAACTATGACCACCCTAGGAAATGCCATGCCCATATGACAACAGGAAAATGCAAACTCCCTTCCTGTAAGCTTTTTCACCCTGAACTGTGTACCTCTTCAGTACAGGAAAGACTGTGCTATAACTTAAATTGCCAGGCATACCATCTAAAGGGGACAAAAAGATACAAAACATCCAGGCCATGGGAAAACCTGGGTAGCCACAGCCACTCAAGAGGGAGAGGTTTTTTAGTGCCAGGAAGGAAAAAAAACTGGCAGGAAATGGCAGAAATCGTACACCAAATCCAGTCATTCCTGGAGTGGAACCACAGTCGATGGCCTCCACTCCAAACCAACAGATACAGATACTAATGCCGGAAAAAAATCCCCCCCCAGTACCAACAATACAACCAGTCCGATAACATTCTTCTTTGCAAATATACAGGGTCTAAAGCCAGCAACAAACAACAAAATACCTTTCATCCGTGGACTGCTTGCAGAGGCAAAGGCAATGTTCGCGGCTTTCACTGAGACCCACTTTAAAGGATCACTTGGACAACGAAATATGGATCCCAGGTTACAACCTATACAGATGTGACAGAGTGAACAGCAAAAGGGGGGGTTGGCCTGTACATTGCAGAGTCACTTGTTTGCACAGAACTGCTAAATGCCTCAAATGATGTAGTGGAAGTTTTAGCAGTAAAGGTCGAGAACCAAAACCTAGTCATTGTGATAGTCTACAAGCCTCCGGATGCAACATCCCAGCAATTCCAGGAACAGCTGTTAAAAATTGCCCACTGTCTGGAAAACCTTCCAGCTCCTGCACCCAACATCTTGCTCCTGGGGATTTCAACTTAAGGCACCTAAAATGGAGGAATATAGCAAATAATATTGTTGCAGTAATAACACCAGGAGGCAGCTCTGATGAAAACTCACACTCCCGCGAGCTTTTAAATCTCTGCACAAAATTCAATTTAAACCAGCAAATAATAGAGCCTACTAGACTGGAGAATACACTAGACCTCATCTTCACTAACAATGATGATCTGATAAGAAATATCACCATATCAAAAACAATATACTCAGATCACAACATAATTGAGGTTCAGTCATGTATGCGCGGAGCCCCAGACCGACATAATGAGATTAGTCACGAGGGAGCATTCACCAAATTCAACTTCAATAACAAAAACATAAAGTGGGACCAAGTAAACCAAGTCCTAACCGATATAAGCTGGGAAGATATACTAAGCAACACAGACCCCAACTTATGCCTAGAACAGATTAACTCGGTAGCACTATGTATGCACAAGGCTTATTCCTCTAAGAAAAAGGAGGAGTAGATGTAAAACAGAAAGAGACAGGCGCTCCCTTTACAGGCGACGGAAAAGAATAACAGAGCGGCTAAAAGAGGTCAATATATCTGAAATGCGTAGGGAGACACTGGTCAGAGAAATAGCAAGCATCGAACTTAAGCTAAAAGAATCCTTTAGGAGTCAGGAATCGCGGGAAGAACTAAAAGCCATAAATGAAATCGAAAGAAACCCAAAGTATTTCTTCTCCTATGCCAAATCAAAATCGAGAACAACGTCCAGTATTGGCCCCTACTTAAACAAGATGGGTCCTACACAGATGACAACAAGGAAATGAGTGAGCTACTCAAGTCCCAATAGGGACTCAGTTTTTTAGCAAGCCGCTAACCAGACTGAGAGTCGAAGATCAAAATGAATTTTTTATAAAGAGAGCCACAAAATTTGATTAACACAAGCCTATCCGAGTTATCCTGACGCCAAAATGACTTCGAACAGGCGATAAATGACATGCCCATGCACTCTGCCCCAGGGCCAGACTCATGGAACTCTGTGTTCATCAAGAACTGCAAGAAGCCCCTATCACGAGCCTTTTCCATCCTATGGGAGGGAGCATGGACACGGGGGTCGTCCCACAGTTACTAAAAACAACAGACATAGCCCCACTCCACAAAGGGGGCAGTAAAGCAACAGCAAAGAACTACAGACCAATAGCACTAACATCCCATATCATAAAAATCTTTGAAAGGGTCCTAAGAAGCAAGATCACCACGCATCTAGAAACCCATCAGTTACACAACCCAGGGCAACATGGGTTTAGAACAGGTCGCTCCTGTCTGTCTCAACTATTGACCACTACGACAAGGTCCTAAATGCACTAGAAGACAAAAAGAATGCAGATGTAATATATACAGACTTTGCAAAAGCCTTCGACAAGTGTGACCATGGCGTAATAGCGCACAAAATGCGTGCTTAAGGAATAACAGGAAAAGTCGGTCGATGGATCTATAATTTCCTCACTAACAGAACACAGAGTAGTCGTCAACAGAGTAAAGTCCGAGGCAGCTACGGTGAAAAGCTCTGTTCCACAAGGCACAGTACTCGCTCCCATCTTGTTCCTCATCCTTATATCCGACATAGACAAGGATGTCAGCCACAGCACCGTGTCTTCCTTTGCAGATAACACCCGAATCTGCATGACAGTGTCTTCCATTGCAGACACTGCAAAGCTCCAGGCAGACATCAACCAAATCTTTCAGTGGGCTGCAGAAAACAATATGAAGTTCAACGATGAGAAATTTCAATTACTAAAGAATGGAAAACATGAGGAATTAAATCTCATCAGGTACAAAACAAATTCGGCCACAAAATGAGCGAAACACCAACGTCAAAGATGGGAGTGATCATGTCGGAGGATCTCTCCCTTCAAGACCATAAACTGTATCAATCGCTCTGCTAGAAAATGACAGGATGGATAATGAGAACTTCAAAACTGGGGAGGCCAAGCCCTATGACACTCTTCAGGCCCACTTGTTCTATCTAGCTGGAATTGCTACACTAACACACCTTCAAGGCAGGTGAAATTGCCACCTAGAAAATTACAGAGAATTTAGGGTGCCTAACGAATAAAACACCTCAATTATTGGAAGCGTGAGGTTCCTAACGTATTCCCTGGAACGCAGGAGGGAGAGATACATGATATTACACCTGGAAATCCTAGAGGGACATACCGAACTTGCACACGAAAATCACCCACACGAAAGCAAAAAAACTTGGCAAACGATGCCCATCCCCCAATGAAAAGCAGGGTGTCACTAGCACGTTAAGAGACCATAAAATAAGTGTCAGGGGCCCGAGATGTTCAACTGCCCCAGCCACATAAGGGGTTTACCAACAACCCCCGTCTTCAAGCTGGCACTGACAAGCACCTAAGTCTTCCGGATCAGCCGGGCTGTGGCTCGTATGTTGGTTTGCGTGCAGCCAGCAGCAACAGCCTGGTTGATCAGGCTCTGATCCACCAGGAGGCCTGGTCTCAGACCGGGCCGCGGGGGCTGGACCCCCGGAAACTCTCCCCAGGTAACTCCAGGTATTGGGGAAGAATACAATAGTGGTGATGGCTGTATATACAGTTTGTTGAAATGTGTTTATTTTCTTATAATGTTTAATTTAATCTTTGTTGGTGATCAAACAACTTTTTTAAACCCTGTATTAGCCGCCTGTTTAGCGGTTTATTGTATTAAGTTTACGAGGACATCTGGTCATTGGCTTTTTTTTTTTTTTTTTTTTTTTTTTTTTGAAATTGTTTACACTCAAGAGATCAAACAATTTCGTAATGCCACCTCATTCAACTTTAAATGAAACTACTACAATAAGGAATATTGATATTCACATTGACTATTAAACGCACTCATTCCTAATACCAAATACAAATCAAAGAAAGTACGAGTAAGGCTATATAGGTGAATGCTAAGGTTTTTTTTTATATACACTGTATATAATACAATTACAAAGTCAAGGCAAGAAGTAACTTTTCACCGATATCACTCTTTGCAACATTTGCCTTCACATGAACAGAGCAATACACTTAAGGATGGTCTCGTTGCATTTGCA